CCCAATGTGTAACTGAACTTAGAGCCATTATGTCACACAGCGATGAAATAACAATGAAACACTTGAGTCAAAACCATTGTGTTTTGAAGTTAATGAAGAGAATCGTGGTAGGTCATAGGTATATGGGATGACTTTGAACTGTATAGGTTTGTTTCATGACGATTACCTTATCACTTCAATCTTTTGGTTCATTTTACGTTATTCCTCTACTAATTAACCGTATGAGATAACATTTGAGAGCATGCTCGCTTCAATAACATTAGTGACAAATATAAGACATTTTGGGAATAAAAAACAGTTGCAATAGTAAAATTACACTGATGGAAAATTCTAAAGTTGACGGTAGACAATCAGTCCTGTTGTAGTACTACCTATACATTCTTTTGAGTGGGTACTTGAGTCCACAAAGCAGTAATTACTCTAGAGTTTTTGGCAGCCAGAACCGTCATCGTGGTAGGAAATGAGATAAATAAAGACAAAGAATTAATATATCTCTCTACATTAAAGGCTAGGCGTGAGAATGAGTAGTAAACTTACAAGGTTTTAATCCAAGTATCTGAACTGCCAAAATTGGTAAATAGTTGTATGAACATGGAAATAATCAATGTCAAATTCTATACAAGACGGTATCAGATTGCATAAAAAAGGTATTTCTTTGGAAAAAAAGTACAAACTTTCTTTTGCGTCTTTTAGACCAGATCATATGTTTAAATGGGAAGTCATATCTCCATCATAACGAGATATTTGAAAACATATGACTCGTATTCTCTACATGTCATTCAATCTAGATTCTATGGAACACACTAACTTTTTGTTTTACCTCCCCATTAATCATATATACTACACTAGCCTAAAGTTTACTGGAGAATATTTACTTAAGAACATACACGAATGACTCTAAAAGTCATCTTACCAACTGCTGAAATCGCCAACTATGTTTCTCTTTCTTATGAAAAACTACTCTTCAAGTCGAAATATCAGTCTGACTGATTACCTCGGTCTTTGCTATGGTGACCTTTATAGTCACTCCTCTTATATGTGACCTATAACTCAAAACATGCCGAAATCCTAACATATTTCTTATACACATATGGGCCTAAACACTCATCTGTGCTGTCAAAAGGGTAGTATGAAACGCTAAGGTCATCAATGTGAACTATTTGAATACTGATTTGAGCTATGTGATAAACTGATAGATATTCGGCCTAGAATGCAGATCATTTTAGAGTAATGAATGAAACCAGTTGCAAGGTGCGAATGCTGTCTATTTACTTGTGATATAAAGTATTTTCAAACTAAGAATGTGGAAAGACGTTAAGAACGGATTGCTGATAATGCATTGTAGTGGGCAACACCAACACCTGCCAAAATATGTACTGCCTCTCACAACTCATTTTAGGCCACCTTATTTATCCACTTTTATGGTAAATTTATACAGATTATCTTTCATCCACTAAAAATCAGAACATTAGGGTACATATACTTCGAGGTAGTATCTTTCGCAGTCTAACAACTTTTGACGAACCACTGAGAAGATGAATATCTTGGAGTTCAAATGAGAAGCGATGACCTATGGGGTCAACTAACTCGCAAGTGAGGAGGTCGCCCAACCGATGACCTCGAATGATAGTCGTACTATATCGTGAACTGACAGAAGTAGGAAAATATGGATTGCCGAACTCGAACTCAGTGGCTGGATAGTCAAAGCGCTCGCAACAAAACCTGAAGGCTCTAAGGGTCATTTCTGACAAGATCATAGTTATGGACTGCTGAAGGGTCTCACACTACGACGAAACGGGTTTCCGGATTTCAGTGAGAATCCAGTTGATGTCACTCGGTGATGAGTGCTACTGTGAAATAAATAAGTCCCGAAAGCCTTATATATATATATATATATATATATATATATATATATATATATATATATATTGTGGCCTCTATACCTGGAACACATGTATACACACCTCATTTTGCAAATTGAAAAAACATGACTGAAATATGGTGTGGATCAAAACTCAATTTCTTTTCTTGGGAAAGAGAAAAATGGAAAATGAAAAGCATTACCTGCCTAAAAAATCTAGTCAATGAACAAATTTTGTTAAAACTGATAATTTAGATAAATATAGTGTTATGGATTTGCTTAGAACACACTCCTCAACTAAAACTATTAGGCAGGTGGATAAATGACTACCTATAAATGACAAGACTGAGAATTGGATTCTGTTGTCTTTCCCCTATCGTCTTTATTATTTTCAGATAGACACATGCAATGTTTAGCGGACTAATACGCGAATATGCGCATGTCCGTACAAACACACTCACAAGTGTATGCATCATTGAAGGTGTATACACATCTTGTGCTTCGATTATTGGAATATTCACCTCTTCTCATATTTTACTTTGTTTGGACCATATAAGGATTATTTATTAGCCTTTCATTGTTCACGAATAGAAATATTTTAGACAACATCACTTAACAGTGAATTATGATCAAGTCTATCAGGTGCAATTGACGTATCGCGGGAATTCCCTACTCCATCATCATCTTATACTGGATGTTCACTTGCAAAATATAAGAAAGACAATGTGGTAGAGAAGTGATAGAACTTATCTGATTAATAAGCTTCTCTACACACAAAAATAACAACGACAAAAGAAATTCGTAAGCGAAAACTGAATAACAGGCAAAAATGTTTTTCATAGTAAGTAACTATGAGATGAAATGTGAAATAAGTAGAGTATAAGTGAAACAATTATTTCACTATATTAAATAAAGTATCACAAAATTATTTTCCTCAATGAACAACTATTTTTTTTGAAGAAAAGCGAATATTACAAACAGTGTCAAGTTTAATGATGTGTATGAATGAGTTCAATTGTTCAATATTCAATTTATTGTTTATATCACTCTACACTTGATTAACTATTTCAATATACATACAAAGAATTCTGAATCTTCTCATTTGATGCATTTTTCTATTCATATGCATGTGTGTGGGTGGGTGCAAAGCCAGAAAAAATTATGAAGAATGAAGAATAAATGAGACTAAGTAGAACTTGCGTAGTTTTGTCCCCGTTTTCTATATTTAGAAAAGGTGAGGAAAAATATCGACGTATGTACGTTAGAATTTCTTTAAAATAAACCTTGTTCACTGATCAATAATTGCTGAGCAATTATTGTGAAGTATGCAGCAGAGATCAGCTGTTTTTCCTTATCTTATCTGATAAATTAACTATCACTTGGCTATCTGAGATAGCCGTAGTTTGGCAGACTAGTATTTATACTGGGTGATGATTGAAGGTGAAATGAAAATTTGGGCCGCGCAGGATTCAAATCAGTGACCACTGCGTTAAATTAACGGCTGTGGAGACTAAATCTATGATCTTTAAATTTCAGAACGGTTTCATTGGCGAAAAAATAACTTCTGATAGTTGACATAGGTGAAAATTCTAGATTTATTAATTCCTGTAATACCAATGGGTGTTTTAAATATCATAATCATTTCAAAACAGCTGCTTGGTTTTCATAGTGGGTGATGATTGAACGTAGAATGGAAATTTGGTCCACGATAGGGCTCGAACCACCGACCTCTGAGTTTCTGTCTCGGTGCTCTACCAGTTGAGCTACGAATTTCAGCTGCAGGACGGATCTCAGTTTCATTTCAATCACCAAGGATTTCGCCCCACTGACCGTGTGTATTTGTGATGCGTTTCTAACCATCCACCATATCCATACTGACTACTGAGCCAAAACTTCTCATTCCAGTCCAAGTCTAATTGAATTTGCAAGGGTTTTCAAACTATAATTGGGTAATAATGATGGATAGTAGCTTGGAGTAGAATCCAGGATGCGCATGATGTCCTATTTGGCATCTGTCAGCTGCATGTGCCTGCCTCCCAGTCAGCGATGCTGTTCGCGCAAGGATTTGGACTGAGGACCGATTGCTTCAAACGCTAGAGTGTTATTCACTACACCACCGAGCCACAATAGGCACTTCTTGTGCCATCATTACTAAACATAATTATAACAGGCAATGTCGAGGCATCTGCACAGGAGCCCATATGCCAAGAGAGACCAATCAATTCTGTCCAATCAACGAAGGTATAATAAAAGCAATTATACTATAATTGGGTAACTTAACGTAAAACTAAACAGTAACAGGTATCGAAAACTGACTTATGATTTCAGAGTTGAATAACAACTTACTCCTCGCGGGAACCAATGGTTCTGAAATCAACCCCCGGTGCAGTTTTTCGTGCGCCCTAATAAAGAATGTGAAGCTAAGACAAAACAGCTGTCCCGTACTCACAAATGTTGTTAAAATCGAATTGGAACTCACTCAACATCCTCGTGCGCGTTCAAGTGGTAGGCAATCGGCTACATCTGCTGTGTGAAGCATAATGAAATACTTCCTTGCTGCCCAGACCTAGGTAGGGGGGCGATGTCCAAACCTATGACCCACTGGTTGAAAGTCAACTGCTTATATCAGTGAGCCGCAGCTTCACATCTGACGATAGGACGTGATGAATACTACCTAATTATTCCCTACAACCACGATCTATTTTATCTGAATGCTACGAGTTCTCTGATGGTTTATAATTGGGGTATATATACCTTTGACTAACCAAACCATCGTGTATTGTTAATTACGAGGTAATCAACAAAATTATCTAAACGGAAAACAAAACTTACCGTTATTAAGGCTAAAAGACCAACAGCTTTGGCTAGCATGACATACAAAAGTAATTAACGACTGGGAACGAAGCTTTTGAAATTGAATGCAGAAGCATGTTAGCAGATAACTATTTCAAGGAAGCTTCTTCAGCAACTAAAATGTGACTCCTTAAAGTGTGCTTATAGAAGTTCCACTTCATCTTTCCTACCATTTCTTTCCTACATAGGGGGCTATGCCTATCGAAAAAATATATGAATCTTTACTGTCAGAAAGTTATCACAACACCCAGTTATTTTCTCCTTCTATTCTTCCTTTTTCGTACAGCTGTCCGGAAACCATAATCAAACCTCCTTCAGTGTACCATCTACAGTTACTGCTACTGCAGTTCCAGCTGCAGCAGTGACAGCAGCTGTTGCTGTCGGAGTTCCTACTGCAACAAATTCAAATGAAAGCGTTTCAGCTGACTCTTATTCTGATCTACAAGGAAGTGCTCAATCGGACTCAGCTCAGTTTTATGTGAATCAGCGTCTCTTTTATGATACCGATTCTCAAAATGAGAATAGTAAGAATTTATCAGCACCTACGGTTACCAACACTATCACTGATATTACTATCAACACTTCTATGAGTAGTGCAGCAAATATAGATGATACTGACAATGACTGCGCTACAACTAATGAAGACTTTGATAAACCTGGGCATTTTAATACAAATGAAGCTGTTCATTCTCCACAGTTTTTGTATACTAATTCTTATTACAGTCAGTATTTTTCACAGTATTTACGAGATAATATTCCTTTGAATAATATGTTACCAAGTGTGCATGATCCTTTGAATTATGCGCAATCGCTTAAAAATACCAGCATCACTACGACGGCCAACAATTGTATTGAAATAAATCGAAGCTATGAATATCCTAATTCTTATGGATTGTATTCAAATCTTTTCTTAAATTCAAATAATATTGGTACAAACGATATTGCTGGAAATTGTTCTGTATCGGCAACAAAAATGAGTTCACCTGATTCTTCACCTTATCATCATCAACATGCTCAAATTCAGTATCATCAACAGCGCCATCATTATCATTCATTATTGAATGAGCAATTGAGCAGTACAATTCATAAGGATAACTGTATTTTTATAACTCAATGCATTCACCCCAACTTATGCCACAATATGCCTCAGAGACAATGAGTTCTACAAGACAGTCACCAAATTTAAATGATCCATATGTTGGTTTTGGAGATATGTCATATTCTCGTCTTCATGATACAGCTCACACTAACCATGTACATCATGAGTTAAATCAGAAACAGCATAGTCCACACACAGAACAACATCTACGACATCCGCATTATCCAAAAATTCCACAAAACTCTTTATCATCGTCATCACCACCGACATCAATACATCATCATCATCGTCATGACCCACATCATTCACAACATTTTCATTCAAATCGTTTACATTCTTCTTCACTTCATAATTCGCAACAACATTTGGAACATCGTGCACCGTGTCTACCGTCTAGACCAACATCTCGAATTAGACATAATAAAGCCTCCTCTCTTAATGGCTCAATTCGTAGTGATGGTTCCATGAATGATGACTCACAAACTGATAAGATCGGTTTTAAATCGAGTGAATTAGTGGTAGATGAAACTGGTAAGATGATTTTCATAATCAATTTGAAAAGTAATAACTGACGTGTAAAGAACACAATCTGCCCGAAAACATTTATAAGGGAATATAGTAACTTATATGAATATTGAATAGATGATAGTTTTCAACAGATTTTTCGTCCGTGATTGCTGTTCTAAAGTGTTAGATAGCCGTACCCTGTTAATTATCTTAACTGTTAGTCTAACGAATATTAGGTTTTCGCACACTATATTCTTTGGTATAGACACTTTAAAACAATAAAACTGAAATATGATTTCAGCATGCCATGCTGCATTTACTTACCACAGAAATATATCACTTCACCTTTCCATAAATTGTGTCAGCACAGCAAGGAAAGTTCTGTGTTCAACAAAAAATAAGAGTTCTAACAGCAGTATTATTAGTGTGCGGAATTCATTTAGAACGAAACAACTACCAAGTGCTCATATGTTTCTGAATAATACTACAGTTGGTATTGATACCTAATGATGGCAAATTTACTATAGATTGACTCGCAAAAAACACCAACTAAAGCTTTTATAAGAGGATGAAGCGGTGGACTGCTTTGCCTACAAAACGTAATTCAGTCTGCATCTATAATACTTCAAAGTTGCTGTGACCAATTTTGAGTTACATTTCTCAAAGTTCTCAACTTTGATTTCAAGTTGACTTGCATACCCGAAACGACCAGTTGATACATCATCTAGCTGGGGAATTTCTTCAGTTGACCAACAGCAGGCAACTTACTTTTGTAACTTCTGCAAACTTAGTCTGTATTCGCTGGATATCGCAGTTGATTATAGGGAATTCTCGCACAAACCAGAAGATCTACTGGCCAAGAACAAACAAGGTTGCAGAAGAGGCAGGGTAGCGAAGATGGGACATCCTTAGGGTGAACGAAGAGAAAACAGAGGTGATGAAGATACCCAACCAACAATAACAACAACAACAATAAGAAGCACCAATCACCATCAACGGGAGAAATCTATGGGAAGTAACCTCTTTCACCTATCTAGGCAGCATCGTTTCAACTGAAGTTGGCACAGATGACGTCAAAGCCAGAAACGGAAAAGCGAGATTGGCCCTAATTAGTCTGAAACCAGTATGTGTGTGCACTCAGCATACAGCGTGAACAAGATCCGGATTTTCAACACTAAGTCAGTCAAGTCAGTGCTTCTATGTGATGGTTGAGAGACTTGGTGCGTTACGAAAAGCATTTCCAACAAACTACAGACACATGAATAGCTTCCGCCTACACTCACTCGATACTGAAGATCAGATCAGATGGCCAGAATGATAAGAATAAGCAAGGAGGAATTCTGGCCTGGTAACGAACCAACTGAAAACCCACCACATAACAAATATGCGAAAGAAAGTGAAGGTGGATTGGATTGGACATAGGCTCAGAAGACCATTTGGGGACATCACGCATCAAGCCAGGCCCTTGAGTGGAACCCGAAGGGGAAACGAGGAGTTGGGCGTCCGAGTCAAGGGTAACATGGAGGAGATGGTGTGAGGAAGAAATGAAAGCTTCTAGGGAGTTGTGGATCCAGGTTAAAGAGACTTTAGAGAAGAGAGTGAAATGGTGACGTGCTACTGAAGTCCTATATTCCACTAGGAACCCAAGGGACAAATAATAATAATTCTCTGGCGGAATAGATTTCGTAATAGTTTCTTAGTTGGTCGTCAGTATACAGTCATCAGAGAATTGTGGATCCAAATTTCACTATGTCTAATCATTTGGAAATGTCGACGTAAGAAATTGCAAGGGACTCATAACTTCATTTCTCTGCTGAAAATACAATTCTGCACATTTAAGTTACAGGAATTATAAGTTTTACTGTGGCTTCAGTGAGTTTGAACAAGTTCTTTACGCTGTAAATCATTCCACGTTGGTTTAATTCAGCACTTTACAGCATAATTTTCAGTGTGCAGAGATAACTCTTTATGTTCCTTAGGGTTTCAGTTACAGGTTTAGAGACAAACTCTTTAATGTTCAAAGTCATCACATCAAGTTTTCTATAGGGTAGTTCGTTTGTAAGCGGTTTTCAGGTTTATATACATGAAATCGACAATATATCTTAGGCTGGATCCAAATAGGTGTATTCATAAATCAAACAAATATTTGAAAAAATAAGTATTTTGTAGTCTGTTGATTCATTCTTAATTACTGTTACTGGTATCTCATGATTTTGAAAGATTATGGTTGCTTTGTGAGCACTTTCGTCTTTTAATCATTCATTCGAAATCCTCAAAATGAGTAAGGCCTTCAATGCAAACCGATTCAATGACAAAAACCAGCATTATCATCTTTATTAGACTGGCTGTGTAGAAGACATTTCTATCTCACCAAAACTTTCTAACAATACCCCAATATAACCTCAGATGATTTCCTCATAGGTAAGTAAAATTCACAGGTAAGTAGAACCAAATAGTAATTAAAGGTCCTATAGGTTTGATATTTATCTGCAAATAAGGACCTTTGACGTGTTGCTTCAGCTCAGCTGAAATTGATGATAGATAATGATAGAAGGTGAATTTAAAATCTGGGAAGTAGCAGAATTCTAACCAACAACCTCCGGGTACCTGACCTGGTGCTCTACCAACTGAACTGTGATTTCCAGCTGCATATCACACCTTAATTTTACTTCAGTCACGAAGGGTTTTACCCAACTGCCATGTGAGTTCGTGAGGCATTACTATCGTTAAAATTCTGCCAAACCATGGCTATCTTAGATAATTAGAGCGATAAAAATTATGGTCCACCCCTCTGTAATTTCGAATGACAGACTGGGATGAGAAGTCGTGACTGAGCAGACAGTGTGAATGCGATGGACAGATAGTAACGCATTGCATAGGAGTCGGGTAAAATAGTTGGTGAGTGAAGTGAAACTAAGATCTGTTCTTTACCTGAGTTGGTAGAGAACCGAGCCAGAAGTACATAGGTCACTGGTCCGAATCCTGCCGTGGCCCAATCTTTCATTTCACCTTTAATCACCACTCATTATCAATACAAGTCGGCCAAACCACATGTGTCTCAGATACCTAAACTAATAATCCCTAAGGATTTTCGATATTATATATATTTGTTCAGTAAAAAGCGTAGAATAAAATCTGACAAAGGCGTAAATGAAACAAACCTCCTAGGCAATAATATCGAGCGCTTTCATTCTCCTCTACTTGTTTTTCTTCTAGAGGGCTTTTATTTAAAAATCTCAACTTTCTCTAGTTTCAGCTTGTTTTCATTTGAAAATCTACCAATTCTGTTTGCCTCTTTCGGTTGTATGTCACATTTTTATTGTACAAAACAAAAATTGCATTCAACGGACATTTTTACAAAATGAGTCAGCCTAGAAGATTAGAGAAAGAGAGAAAGAGAGGAAAGGGGGAATGGAGAGAAACTGAAAGCATGAGCCTTTAGTACTGTTTCCTTCCAGTAGCCTTTCGTGAACTTTTTGTGACAACAGTAAAAATAAGGATCCAAATATAGGCAACGTTAGAAAAATAGAGAAATTGACAAGTGATGTTTGTTGTCTACAAACTTTTTTTTAAAAAAAGAAGCACTTTCTCATTTTATATTTCCAGTCTCCTGTTTTTCGCTTTTCATTAAACACTGAGGGGAGGGAGAGTTAAGGAGGTAGGCAGTCAGTAGTAGACGGGATATACTTACAGACTACCAGAGAAAAATCTATCAACTGGCAATGAATACCCAAAGGAAGCTAGGTCCAATCTACCTTATTCTGCACATTGCTTTCTCTATTGCTCCTACTCTCTTTTTCTTTGATAAATATGACAAGCAGTAAAGAAATTTTAAAAAAAATGAAAATACACGGGATGAATCGAAAAATTCCATCCAACTCGAGGAAAAAACAATAAGGAAAAATGGCCCATTTTTCCATTTGGGCATTTTATTTATAAAATAATATTTCTGTAGAGCTGGAGTAAAGGTGAAAAAATTGGGAAAACAAAAATCCAGCCTAATTAATTGTGCTTGCTCAGTTCTCTTTTTATTTTACAAGTGTTTCATTTCCTCTTTTTGAAACATTTACTTTATCTACGTCAGAAGTTAACCACAATTTAAAACAAGAGTTCTATACTTGACAAGCGTAATTTGAAAGATTTCAGGTATCTGGTTATATACAACAGTAACGAACCACTATTATTATTATTATTATTATTATTATTATTATTATTATTATTATTGAGATGAATAAATCACTAAATATCAGCGAATGATGCTGCTTAGTGTTGAATGCTTATGGGAATCCACCATTCAGGCTAGAAGTATTGTCACTTGATGAAATAAAATAACACTTTGGAATGTGCTCGGTGTTTGAGGTCAGTCGGCGCTCATCGGAAGCTGCTGCCACAATCCAGAAATTCATTTCACCTTCAGTTATCACCCAATATCAATAATACGAGTCTGCTAACCACGGCTATCTCAAATAGCTACCCTGGTATTTAAGACACAGGAGATCCTTTGTGCTTCCTCCAAAGTTTGATCGTGAATCATTTGAAGATAAAATCAGAGACTTATCACCAAGCTATCCTGGTCACACCTGAGCATTAAATTATTCACTTGTCTAGGTGAACCGATTATAAGATGGTGATGAATATAGTCTGCAATTACGAACACTTTAAATCATGCCTCTGTTACATTAAAGTTTGCATGTATGCATGACGTTGATGTCACTGATACTTATAATGATCACGATTTAGTTGAACAAACCTAAGCCGTTTTCTTAGCAAAAGCCATTAGTTTTATTATCCAGTGTATGAGTTGGAACGGATACTTGTTTGACAGTTGGTTTTCGTGCCTTGACTTATGTAAAAAGAGGTCACTGAACCTAGGATTACTGAGTTAAATCAGTTTCTTTTTCTTATCTGATCTTCCTCCACGACGAATATCAAAGTATACCACTCGACGATATCCTAGTTAACTGTGTAACTATTGCTTGGACCATTTAAAAAATCTTCGGTTGGCGATGGGGCGATGGACTGAG